GGAGGCAGGAATCCCATTAACCTCAATTGAGCAGGCTGGGGGAGGTGGGGCAGGGCTGCTTCGCAAAACAAAACTTGGCTTCGTGTAGGCTTCCTAATTTGACTTCCTAATGAGATTTGGAAGAGGAACGTGGAGCCTAGGCTATGGGAAAAACCAAAGGAAAATTCCTTTCTCTTAACAAGCCGGTGGCATGGAGTGGAGAGGTCTTGGGTGTTTGGGAGGCCTGAATGTTTGCCACCAAGTAATGTTCTTCCGCTGGGGTCACATAAAGTCTAAGGGATGGATGAAGTGTGAGAAGCTATTCCAAAATACTGCTTGCAATTTTGCAGGAAGTCTCTTCCACCTTGAGGAAAGAAGACAGCTTAAAAATTAAAATAGCTCCATTGACTTCGATCTGCTTGGAACCGAAGTCCAGTCTTTCTCTGCATGCCTGATTCCATAACCCCAGTCACATTCCGCCCGCTGAGTGAGCTGTGCCTCTCCCCTCAGCAGAGAGTGTTACCAGTAGGGCCACATGTGACTTCCCTGTTCAGAATCCAAGGTGTGTTTGGTGGCCCCATTTTACTTGATCTCCAAGCTGCACGGGCCCCAGCTGACAACTCTCCTTGAATACTCTTCTCCTGGCTTCTGGGTGTCAGGCTTCCTCTGGGATCTCTTTGCTGTCTCTTTTCCATTTCCTTTGTGCAAAAGTCCTCCTCAGCACGAAAGGTGGGAGCTCTTTGGGACTCAATCCTAAGCCCTTGACTCTGATTCTTAAGCTCTCTCTCCTCTCTGTTCCTCTGGCCTTGGTTCTCTCCCATTCTTCCACGACTCTCAGTTACATTAGTGGTACCTTGGTTCACGAACTTAATTCTTTCCATGATTCTGGCCACAAACTGAATTGAACAAGAACTGAATCAAATTCGACAATCAGGTTGAATGTTGACCTTTTGGGGAAATTTCATTCAGCTCTCATCCAGTTTGGTTTGGGACCAGGATCGTGGAGAGAATTGAGTTTATGAACTGAGTACTACTGTAAACCAGCACAGAATTCTTGCCCTTGAAACTCAGAACTATATAACTGCCTGGATACTTAACACTTTTATCTGGATTTTTTGACAGTGGGGCAGTGTGGTAACTGAGGATTGAGCCTGGGACCTTTGACTGAACTGCATTCCCAGCTCTTTAGATTTTTTTAAAATTTGAGAGAAGATCTCTCTAAGTCTAACCAGCGTGGGGTCAGACTTGCAATCCCATTCCAGTTTCTCTGAGTACCGTGATTACATGCACCACCATGCCCCTCTTTCCATCCAGGTATCTTGAAGACATCTTAACAAGGTGGTCAGAACCGAGCTCATGGGCTGCCCCATCAAACGTCACTGAGTGTTCCCAGTCTTGTGGTTGGCACCAACTCCTTGTGCAGGTTAGTTACACACCTAGGCGGCATCTGGACTGCTCTGTTTCCCTCAGGCTTTCTAAGCCTGTCACCACAGCCTGGTGGCACCGCTCACCTCTGCGCTCCTCCCCGACGCCAGTCACCACCAGCCCTCTCCCACCCCTCCCTGCAGCTGTCTCCCCGCCCCGTCTCAACTCATCTACCGTATCACATGGGAGCCCTCCCGGAGTGTCATTGTTTTTTAAATGCAGATCAGATCAGATCATCCTTCTGCTTAAAATGCTTCAGTGATTTCCCATTCCTTTTAATGGAAAAATCAAAAACTTTAATGTTGCCTGACTTGGTCCCACAGCAAGCTCATCTTTGATTTCTGGATCCAGTTACAACTACAGTCTTTTAGTACTTAACTATCCTCTCCTTCCTTTGCAAGTAGGGCCTTTGCACACACAGTCCCTCTGGGTTTTTGAGAACGTTCTCCCTGAGTTTTGTTCTTTACTTAGTCAACTCCTGATTCCTTAGATCTTGAGCCCATGCCTATTTCCTCAATGGGGAACTCCACTCGGAGCTGGCTGAGGGTCCCTTCACACGCTGTCAGGCACCTCCTGCCTTCCTGCCACAGCCGTGCCACCTTTATTTGCGTGATCACTGAATAAATGCCTCCTCTGCTAAACTTCAGCTCCATGAGGAACTAACTCTCTGCGCTCCCACAGTCTCCCCCCAAGTGCCTTTCAGGCTATGTTTTTATAGGACACCTTCGACAAGCTTTTGTTCAATCAATAAAACATTTCTATCATCCTCGATAGAAGGATACAGGGTCAATGAAAGATTTCACTTTATTTATTTTTGAGGCAGAATTCAGACAAACCAATGTGGTCCCACTATTAATTTCATGCTGATCAGAAGCCCAACTGGAAGACAGATATGTCTTGACTAATTAAGTGAGAAAATGAGAGAGTTGTTACTTAGCCAGAGGGATGTTGTTACCATGTAAAAGCATTAGTCAGCTGGATATGGTTGGGCTTCTAGTTCCTCTCTTAAAGCACCTGGATGATGACCCTGGACCTGTAAGCTCTGAGCCTCAGTTTCACCATCTGTAAAATGGATTTACCTCGTAGGTGCAAGGATTAATCTGGTTAATGCATAAAGTGCCTCCCAGCGTACTTGGGTACCTAGTAGATGCTTAAAGTGGAAATATTTCCCCATCTCTTTTTTTCTTTAATCTCTCCCTCTTCTTGCTTTCTTAAATGTGCAATGCTTTGTAGTTGACATTTTCCTAACCCCAGGCTCCTCAAGGGGTAAGGACTCCTCAGCAATGTAAAAATTGGCACCTGCAAACTGTTAGAGGCCCAGGTGCCCCTAACACATACTGCCCTTGCACACCTGCTCTTCTTGAGGACCCCACAAAGAGGGAGGGGTTCTCCATGTTTAGCTCTTGGGGGCCTGAAAACCAGGAGAAACCACAGAGACCCACACAATCTGAGCAGATAGAATCGGGGTGACCTGATGGCTACTTGATGGCAATTATGCAGAAGGAGCCCTCTGCTGTAGCCTCCTCAAGAGGATCCAGGGCACTGGGTCGCACGGGGATCACCGCAGATCAGAAAGCCTGGGCAGCCAGCTGGGCTGCCTCGGCTCCCCTATCCAGCATCAGCTCTCTTTACCTCCTCAGACATCCGCTTTTAGCGCGGCACACCCAGCCTGGGCTGGCTGTGATCCGCAAGGAGCACTCTTCCAGGCCCACGTGTGTACTCCTGCACAAAGCTTTGCCCACCTCTCCCCGCTCCAGGCTGGGTCACACCCCTTTCTGGGGCTTCCAGAACTGCTCGCATCTCCACCCTGCTGCCTGTGCCCCTGGAGCGCACAGGGCTACCACAATGACATTGTTTTATATTGTGTCTATGGTGCCATTGGGATTTATGCAAAGGGCAGACCTGGAAGGAGGGAACTCTGCTTATTGTCTGTCTGTTGAATCCAAACAGCAGGGATTGTGTTTAGGGCTGGCACAGAGTAGCTATGTGTGGAGCTGTTAGTTTGTTGAACAGGGAAGGGGCAGGCGCTAGGTGCCTGGCAACAGCTTTCCTGTCCTGACTAGTCACGTGGGGGTGCTCCTCCTCCCGGGCTCCTGCTGCCCCACTCTGGGGAGTGACCCTTTGAATGGCCTGTGCTTTTTTCCTATCATTTTGTCTCTTTGCCTTTTCACCAACTGAGCAGGATCTCTGCATTCCTGTGTTACTGCTGTCTGCATCAATACCCTTGTTAATGGATGCAGACCACTCCACAGAAGCCGCTTCCTCAAGGGATGAGTGGAAATCAAAAGTTGTTCAAGGAACCGCACAGGATTCAGGGTAGGCAGAGGAAATGAGCCCATAGGAAAACGATGCTGGGACTAAAGTTTCATGTTCACTGCAACCTGTGAACCCAAACTAAGGGTGGGGACTTGGTCCTGGAGGTCAAGGGTCAGAGACGGACTCTAAGAGGAGGAGAAAACAATAGGCTCAGATTCTTCAAAATGGTTCTGGAAACAATATGGATGATGAATTGGATTGGGAAGGGAAGAGAGGCGAAGTATTCTGGGCATGAAGAGATAGGGGTGGTCTGAACTAATGGCAGGAGCATAGGCAGGCAGGGTTAATTTATGAGCTGTGAGGAAGACAGAGCCCCAGGACTTTTGGACTCACTGTACTTTTAAAGTTTATTCACATGGGGAACAATGGGTTTGTGTGAAGGTGATGGGTTCCATTTTGGACCCAATAAGTTAAAGGACATGTGGACCATCCATGGAGAAATGTCCAAGGAACTGATGGAGCTGATGGAGGTATCACTCTTTCTCCATCCATCCATCTACCCACCAAGCCACCATCCATCTATCTGTCCATCCATCTATCTGTCCATCCATCCATCTACCCACCCACCCATCCATCCATCTGCCCATCCATCTATCTGTCCATCCATCTATCTGTCCATCCATCCATCCACCCACCCATCCATCCATCTGTCCATCCATCTATCTGTCCATCCATCTATCTGTCCATCCATCCATCCACCCACCCACCCATCCATCCATCTATCTGTCCATCCATCCACCCACCCACCCATCCACCCACCCACCCATCCATCCATCTATCTGTCCATCCATCCATCCACCCACCCACCCATCCATCCATCTACCTGTCCATCCATCCATCCATCCACCCACCCATCCATCTATCTATCCATCCCCTGGGAATGGGAATGGGAATGGTAGTTTGGGAACTATCAGCATATCTCTGGCCACCAACTCCAGGGCAATGAAGTCTCCAAGGGACACAGCATACTGAAAAGAGATGGGGCTCAGAATAGGATTCAGGATAAGTCTGTCTTTGCATGAGTCATACTCACTTAGAGGGAGTCCATCTGTATGCACTTAGGGCAAATGTATGTTTGATCTGTTGTGGCCGAGGGTGTGAATGAGCACCACTGGGAGAAACAGAGGCATGCACGACACTCCACGCATGAGCAATGTTTTATCTGCTGGTTCATTACTGACTTTAACAATGTGACTAGGTTGTGGTGGCCATTAGCTAGGCAGCTTCCAGTACAAGACTAGGATGGTGGAGAGAAGAGCCAGGGGCTGTTTGCTACTTACACATTGAGAGGCTGCCAAGCTGGCCACTGGGCTTTGGCTTTGATGACGGTGAGGACCTCATCACTCTGCCAAAAAGAATGACAAATGTTTAGTGAACAGACCTGGGATCATGGGAATAAGAGGGATTTGACAGTGACACTGTCCACCACTATTCTGTTTCCTGCTGTTGTGCACCCAACTTGCCCCATGATGGGCAAACCTTAGGGTTTCAGAAACATGAAGAGATGGCACTGAGTGTCCTGTGTGCCTGGTTTGCCTGGGCACTGATGAGCTCATCCAGCTACACCTTTGGTCTCCAGCCTGGCCCTCCCTTACTAAACTAGACCTTGGATCATGTTGGCCAGACTTTCAGATTTCACTCAGCCTGCAGGGCCCATCATGGTCTGTGTCCAGGCCTCAAGAGGGGCCTGCTCCAAGTCAGCAGGTACCACAAATGCAGCCAAGACTTTACCCCAAGGACCGTCACCCCTGGCCTTCCCCGCTGTTGAGAGAGTGTCCCTTGGACACTGAGGTTGGAACAAGCCCAAGGTCCTCATACGTTGCCCCACTCCTGAGACTTTGTTCTATTTTGCTTTGGGCACTGTGTACAGCACTACTAAAGCATGGGAAACCTAAAATAATTTTTACTGGAATAATTTGATAATTGACATTTTGAAAGAAAGCAGTAAGTAAGTAGTCATTATGGAGTAAAAATCAGAACTTCATTGATCTCACTTTGAGATTTGGTTGAGTGTCTTAGTTTCTCACTGAGGGAGAGGGAGTGAAAGACATCATGATATCTGTAAAACTCAAGGCCCACACAAGGCCAGACTTGGCTTTGGGAGAGGCGTTCCCCACAATGGACTTGGCTGGCCTGAGATGTCCCCTGCCCCTGCTTGGGCCCACAGTGCTCATATACCATCATTTATTATGGATAGAAGACTCCAGAATGTCACCAGGCAGGAAAGGAAGAGCTTTCTTGCCAACTGAACAGATCCCCGTGTTCCCAGGGAGCAGAGATCGCTTTGCTGGCTCGAAGCTACACCCCAGTCCTCAGAGCTGCACCTGGCAGTGGGAGCCTTGAACATACTTGGGATGAATTGGTGAATTTCTCTTTGGTTGCATAACTTGCCTAGAAAACCGCACAGCCCCGAGGACACTGGGAGGAAGGAGGCTAGGGTTGGTTGTCTTCCAGACTCAGGCCCAAGGGTGTGAAAAGGCCTGCACAGATGGTCACAGGGGAGGTGGCAGGCAGGAGCTAGACCTGCGGGATGAGTCTGCAGAGTTAACAGCCTCTTTCTGAGTGAGGGCCCCTGGGGTGCCCACTTGGGGACGGAGGAAAGAATCTTGAGATACACAGACACCACGCTATAGTCACAGGTCTGCGGGAAAAGCATTTCCAGCACCATCTGAGTGATTATATTTCTCAAGGAAGATTTGTTTATTTGTAGTGGAATCCTCCTAATAAATACAGGGTGAATAACTAAGAGAAGCTGTTTACCACAGTCACAGGTGGAACAGGAGCTATTTCCCAAATGCCAGTTCTGTATCACCTGTAACCTGTGTATGCCACACAGAGACTTCATCTGACCCCGGACTCCCAGTCCCCCTGCAGTGAGCCTGTCTCACCTCCATTGGCTACCTGCAGTGGACTCCAGAGCTTCCTCCTGCTTGGCCCCTCACACCAGCCAGGATCCAAGGGCTTCTGCACTGAAGTTCATGACTCCAGCCACACCCATTCCCTACCCACCGATGGCTCCCACGGCCTCCATGATCACAGCTCACTTCCTGTGCTTTGCCTGCACATCTGGTCTACTTTGTCCTTCCTTTGCTTTTCACTTGCAGAGTGATACACACTTATTGTGCAAAATTTTAGCATCACAGAAGCACCTTCTACCTTCTACCTTCTACCCTGCCTTCTGCTTATTCTTCTCTGGAATGTGACAGTTTGGTGTGACTCTTTCCAGAGCTTTTCACTATGCAACGCAACGAGGGGTGCATTCTCTGTCTAAAGCTTTCCCACAAAAATTGCAACATACTGTATGTATATTTTGTTTTGTGCCATGACTTTAACAATTTCCCTTAATACCATATGGAAAATACCTTAGTACTCTACCATGTGGGAGGTTTTTCTTTAGTGTGTGTTGTAGACTGTATACCAAGCACGATAAACATCATAGCTCTCTTCTTTTTGAGGTTTTAAAGGATTGGAGATCTGCAAAATTATGGTAAGCCAGTTTGAGGCATGAAAATGAAATCCAAGGTATGAAGTATGAGTGAAAGATAGTGTCCCCTGACAATCCTTTGTCCTAGAAGAAACACTTCACTAAAAAATCAAATCAATGTGGGTGGGGTTAAGGTGGCCACAGAGGTAGCTGGCCCTACAGATTCATTTTGCTTTGCAATTAAATCTCGATTCTCAGGTCCCAGCTAATGACATATTGATTTTTGCAGCATGCACCTCAATAACGATATTTTGGACCCTCCATTAGTGTTTATTTATGATGATGGAATTCTGTGTGTATATTCTGAGTCTGTGGGGATTCCAAGCATGCTGAAGCCAATGTGTGTGGGTATGACAGCTTCTAGCTGTAAATCATTTTGTCCAATGGTTATATAACATTGGTCTTATCAACATGCTATTCAATGAAATAAAAATAAAACACTTCTGTTGAAGCATCAAAATTCTCTGACATAAAGTTCTATCAGGATGGAAAAACTGGGTATGGGGGTACACACCTGTGGTCCCAGCACTTGAGGGGCTGAGTCAAGAGAACTGCTGTGAGTTCAGGGCCAGCTTGAAATAGGTAGCAAGAGTGTCTCAAAAGAAACAAAACAAAACAAAAAACAGAAGGAAAAAAAATGAGTGGAGAGGATTTGGCTTAATTAATGCCAAACATTCACCAGTACACAGTTAATTGCTTAAAAAGCAAAACACATCACTCCTTTTGACATATACGTATAACTCCATGGCATGGGTGCACTCTATTTAACTAGCATTATTGGGGGGTATTAAACTTCCATAAACGATGCTGATGAAGATTTGCATAAATATTTCTTTGTTCACACACGCAAGGGTTCCTGTGTCCTTGATTCTTAGGAATGACCAAAAAAGAGGAAATTTTGTGGAAAGTTGTGGAGGGGCCAACTAACTTGTCTTTATCAGAGCTTGGAATCCCCACAGACCAGCAAGAATGTACATGTGCTCAGGTCTTTATGCCTCTGGACACACTGGATTCTGCCCACCCTGTAATATTTATGAATTCAGAGTCAGGGAAGCAGAGTAGTCCAGAGCATAGGCTAACTGTAGGATGACACCTGAGTTCAAATCTTGGCTCCACCATTTACTAGCTGTGTGTGACCTTTGGCAAATCTCAATCTTAGTTCTCTCATTTGTGAAATGGGTTTAAAAAAAATCTACCCCCATGTCCTAATGGGGGACAAAATGACATAGTTTAGGTAACATGCCAATGCTGTGTCTGCTACATATGGCAACTGCCAGAAACATGAGTCATCACTTTTTTATGGTGTTTTGAGACCAAGTCTTACCTTATAGCCCAAGCTATCTAGCTCATGGTGATTCCCCTGCCTCAGCATCTCCAGTGCTACCAATTCCAGCATCGTTCTTAGTCCTGCATATGTTCAGACTGAGCTGGCATCACAATTAGTTGTGCCATTTGCGTACAGGAAGCAGGGCCTGCAGTTGCAGCTGCAGGCATTCCCAGCTGTGGGAGCAGGTCCTCATGTCTGCAGGCAGGCTCTGTCATGGGCTGTATCATCTGGAGGCTGTGAGCCTTGGATGGGGTGCCTGGGACGCTGGGCATCTCACATTTGGAAGAATGAAGGACTTAAATTCAGAGTGCGCAATCCAAATGTCAGACTTAAATGAAAAGCTTGTTTTAATAAGTCTCTAAGGCACAGACAGTATCTTTCAAGGATCCTCAGAGCCCTTTACAGCTCCCGTAGGAAACTTCGCAAACAAGTATTTCAAGGCGGTCGCAGTTCACATCGTGTTTGGATGACATTAACACTTTCCCAAAGACACACCAATTAAAACTAAAACCCCCAAAGAAACAACAGGTCACTTGCGTCTACTTTTCATTTTGCTTTCGGTAAACATTTTGCAAGTGGTGACAGTTATACTCATAGTGCTCAGCTGCTAGTGCCAAGCAGGAATAGCATAGTCCCAAACAGGCTGAGGGCTGAGGTCAGGCCTGGAGAGGGGAGGGTTCATGTGGAGTGACAGCAGGCCTGGGACGAACTGGCAGCTGAACTGACATCAGTATCAGGAGACACAGAGTGTGTGTGTGTGTGGGGGGGTGGTAAGCATGTGAATGTATTCTGTAGACTGAGGCAGGAGATTAGCAATTCTAGTCTAGCCCAGGTAACTTAGTGAGACTCTGTCTCAAAATACAAAAGGCTGGGGATGTAGCTCAGTGTAAAGACCCAGAGTTGAATCCCCAGTATTAAAAAAAACCTGAATCTGGGCTTGGAGTAGGGGCCTCCTATGATCTCCAGGGCCAGCACCCAGTGGGCAGAGCACTGGGCATCTTGGCCAGAATCGCTGGCTGGAGTCTGCTTTCCCACCAGCCTGGATCCTCACCCCCTCCTGCTGTGTCCTACCCTTCCTGCCTCCTGATCTTCTCAATTCCTCCCCAACTCATAAACTACAAGCTTCCTGCACATCTTAACGTAGCACCGAGGCTAAGCCCCCTAGATCCGCAGTCTCAGAGAAGGCAGGGCCAGCCGACGTTCCTTATGCCTACTTCCGCCCAGGAAGACAAGAGGGACGATGGTCTGTGATCAGAGAGGGAGAAGAATGGAAAGGAGTGGAATGACAAAACTGTCTGCTATTGGTTATGCTCCAGACATCTGCCTAATAACCTACATATATTCCTACGTATACATTATTTCTTTTAATCCCCACAACCCATTTGCAGGGTATACTTCTGAATCCTCAGAAATACAGTTTTGGGTCAAATTAGTTTCACAGCAGTGCTAAGTTAGGTGGGTGACGGTGAGCCAGAAAGGTAGGTGGGCCATGGCCTGGGAGATCTCGGCCTGTCTCTCACGCTTCTGAGACCCT